GAGTGAAATGAGTGTAGACGTGACGTAAACGAGGTGTCGCTCAGCTCGGCGTGAGAGCCTATCGAGCTGCAGCAGGTGCAGGCGCGGTGCAGCCAGCCTGTCGCCGCCTCACCCGCAGCGACCCCGCCCGGCCCCACCACGGGCAAAGATCAATAAGCGCCCGCAAAACGGCGCGTTTAACGCACCGGTCAAACGCCATATTGTCCACAATCAGTCCAAGAAAAAACTTAAATTCAACGGAGTCCCCAGGCAAATTAGGGACCAAGGACGAAGCACTCGGTGGTGTCCTCAGACCGGCATCATCCGGCGCAGCAGCAGCTCGGTGGGCGGGGCCAGCTGCGCCTCGTCCCTGCGCGCGGCGTGCAGGTGGTGCAGCGGCTGCAGCGGCTGCAGCGGCTTGCCGACGAGCAGCTGCCGCAGCTGGTGCGTCTCCTCGCGCAGGGTGAGCACCTGCGCGCGCAGCACCGCGTTCTCGTGCTCCAGCAGCGCCGCCCGCAGCGCCACCTGCGGCAGGGGGGCGCGTCGGGGGGTACTTCAGGCAAAACAATCAGTGTATACCCCCTCATAAATTGTAAAAATTAACAAAAAAATCAGAAAATATAGTGGAAAATTTCCGTAAAACAACAAACAAAAATAAAAACCATAACAGGAAAACATATGAAAATCGAGAGCAAACAGAAAAATTTGTGCGCGCTTGAATTAATTGTGGAGGACCCCTCGGGTCACCCCCCGGGTCAGCCTTGACTCCTCATAGACAGAAGTGGCAGCCTCACCTGGTCCTCGCGGGCGCGCCGCGCGTCCCGGGACTTCTTGGCGGCGCGGTTGTTGCGGCGCCGCCGCTCGAGGTAGCGCTGGTCCTTCTGGTCCTCCGGGGTGGGCTTCTTCTCGCTCCGCGGGCGGCGCGCGCCGCCGGGCAGCGCCAGGGGCAGCGCGAGCGGCACTGGCAACCGAGACCAGAAGGTCGTGAGGTCGGGCCGACGGTCGGCATGGCGCACGACGACGGCGCGGTACTCACGGGGGAAGGCGTCCTGGACGCGCGCCAGCACCGCCCCGCCGCCGCCGGGGTACGCCGACGTCCTCGCGGCCTCCGCCGTCCGCTCGTGGAGCTCGACGAGGTCACCGTCGGACAGGCCGCCGCCGGTGGCCGCGCCGGCAGCGCACCACGGCTGGTAACAGCGCACCGCGTCTGACGCGCGGGGGTTAGACAAGAAAGCCCGAGAGCACCCAGGACCTCGTCTGACGCGGCCCCAGAGCACCGCGCCAAGACTGCTGCCGACTCACCCAGCGCGGCGGGGCTCATGGTGTGCAGCAGGCTGAGGGCGGACCACCCCGCCGGCATGGCACGCCCCGGCAGGGCGGGCGGGCTGACCGTCCTGGGGCTCGACGAGCTGCTAGGGCTCGGGCTGCGGCGCGCGGCCGGGTGGCCTCCGCGAGCAGGTGGCAGCCGGGGCGCGTCCATGGTGCACTTCCATGCCTCGGCGAGGGGTGCGCCGGACTGGCAGCCCCGCGCGCGCCCCGCTCCGGAACTACCCGCCCCGCCCCACCCGACCACCCCCCTCCCGTCACGTGACACTCCCGCGCGGGTAAGGTAAAAGCCCGGGGGGAAAAAACTCAGTCGGGCTGTAGAAATTAATCACAGCCAACGATTTGGAAGAATTTTAATGTATAACCGTTTATTCACAATAAAATAAACTTTAAGCATGTGCTCACAAAGTAACAATAAGTTATTTCGATAAAGAAAAAAACACTTCTTATTTACATAATTTGATACTTGGTTGAATAATATGAAAAAAAAAAAAATACAGGGACAGCAAATAGTGCAACACATGAGAATAACAGTTTTCCTTTAAACTCCACAATTTTTGGATAGGCGAACAGCTAGGAAATTTAGCACTACATACCTCACAACAGATTTTAAATGGATTTTTTACCAGTGTGTGTCCTCATATGATTCCTTAGATGACCACTTTCAGCGAAGCTAGCGCTGCAGGTCTGACAGACGTAAGGTTTTTCACCAGTGTGTGTCCTCATATGCTTGCGAAGATTGCCACTTTGTGCGAAAGCAGCGCCGCAAGTCTCACATGTGTAAGGCTTTTCACCAGTGTGTGTCCTCACATGCCTCCTTAGATCACCACTTTCAGCGAAGCTAGCGCCGCAGGTCTTACAGCCGTAAGGTTTTTTACCAGTGTGTGTCCTCATATGCTTGCGAAGATTGCCACTTTGTGCGAAAGCAGCGCCGCAAGTCTGACAGGCGTTAGGCCTTTCGCTAGTGTGTGTCCTCATATGCTTGCGGAGATTGCAACTTTGAGAGAAGCCAGCGCCACAGGTTTTCACCAGTGTGTGTCCTAATATGCTGCCTTAGATGACCACTTACAGCGAAGCTAGCGCCGCAAGTCTGACAGCTATAAGGTTTTTCACCAGTGTGTGTCCTAATATGCTGCCTTAGATGACCACTTTTAGCGAAAGCAGCGCCGCAGGTCTGACAGCTATAAGGTTTTTCACCTGTGTGTGTCCTCATATGCTGCCTTAAATGTCCACTTTCAGCGAATGCAGCGCCGCAAGTCTGACAGCCGTAAAGTTTTTCACCAGTGTGAATCATCATATGTGTGAGGAGATTGCCTCTTTGAGCGAAGCCAGCGCCGCAGATCCGACAGGAGTGAGGCTTTTCACCTGTGTGCGTCCGAATGTGTCTTTGGAGGTCACCTTTTCTCTTGAAGGCCGCCGCGCAGGTCGGACAGCGGTGCGGCTTCTCCAGGACCGCGGCGCCCTGGTCCTCTCCTGCAGCCACCGCCGCCGCCGCCGCCGCAGCGCCGTCGCCGAGCTCGCCGCCAACGACACCACCAGGGGTCGCACAGGCGCGGCGCCGCTGGCGCCGCTTCATCTCGGCTGGACACGCCCCGCAACGATGGTGCTGCGCCAGGAGCAGGGGGCTAACGAAGCACAGGTTGCAGCGCTCGCAGAGGAAGGCTCCGGCTGTGGGGCAGAGCAAACGAGCGACAGGAACAATGAGTAAAACTCTAAAAACGGGTAATGTGAATCACTGGGATTCTCAAACGGCGGTAGTATGTTTAGGCAGGCACAAGTTTAAAGGGAACCACGACCTATGCGGTCGACTAGGCAACAGCCACCCCCCCTCCCGTCACGTGACACTCCCGCGCGGGTAAGGTAAAACCCCGGGGAAAGAAAACTCAGTCGGGCTGTAGAAGTTAATCACAGCCAACGATTTCGAAGAATTTTTAATGAAAAACTGTTCATACACAATAAAATAAACATGAAGCATGTGCACACAAAGTAACAATAAGTACTTTCGAAAAGGAAAAACAAACACTTCTTATTTACATAATTTGATACTTGGTTGAATAAGATGAAAAAAATACAGGGACAGCAAATAGTGCAATACATGAGAATAACAGTTTTCCCTTACACTCAACAATTTTTGGATAGGCGAACAGCTAAGAAATTTAGCACTACATACCTCAAAACAGATTTTAAATGGATTTTAACCAGTGTGTGTCCTCATATGCGTGCGAAGATTGACACTTCGAGCGAAAGTAGCGCCGCAAGTCTGACAGGTGTAAGGCCTCTCACCAGTGTGTGTCCTCATATGCCTCTTTAGATCACCACTTTCAGCGAAGTTAGCGCCGCAGGTCTTACAGCCGTAAGGTTTTTCACCAGTGTGTGTCCTCATATGCTTTCGCAGATTGCCACTTTGCGCGAAAGCAGCGCCACAGGTCTGACAGCTATATGGCTTTTCACCAGTGTGAATCATCATATGTTTGAGGAGATTGCCACTTTGAGAGAAGCCAGCGCCACAGGTCTGACAGCTGTAAGGTTTCTCACCAGTGTGTGCCCTCATATGCCTCCTTAGATAACTACTGTCAGCGAAGCTAGCGTTGCAGGTCTGACAGCAATAAGGTTTCTCACCAGTGTGTGTCCTCATATGCTGCCTGAGATGACCACTTGCAGCGAAGCTAGCGCTGCAGGTCTGACAGCTATAAGGTTTTTCACCAGTGTGTGTCCTCATATGCTTGCGGAGATTGCCACTTTGAGAAAAGCCAGCGCCACAGGTCTGACAGCTGTAAGGCTTTTCACTAGTGTGTGTCCTCATATGCTTCCTTAGATGACCACTTTCAGCGAAGCTAGCGCCGCAGGTCTGACAGCTATAAGGTTTTTCACCAGTGTGTGTCCTCATATGCTTCCTTAGATGACCACTTTCAGCGAAAGCAGCGCCGCAAGTCTGACAAGTGTGAGGCCTGTCACCAGTGTGTGTCCTCATATGTTTGAGGAGATTGCCACTTTGGACGAAGGCAGCGCCGCAAGTCTGACAGCCGTAAGGCTTTTCACCAGTGTGAATTATCATATGTGTGAGGAGATTGCCTCTTTGAGCGAAGCCAGCGCCGCAGGTCGGACAGGAGTGAGGCTTTTTACCTGAGTGCGTCCGAATGTGTCTTTGGAGGTCATCTTCTCTCTTGAAGGCCGCCCCGCAGGTCTCACAGCGGTGCGGCTTGTCCGGGACCGCGGCGCCCTGGTCCCCTCCTCCAGACGCCACGGCAGCGCCGTCGCCGAGCTCGCCGCCAACGGCACCACTAGGGGCTGCACAGGCGCGGCGCCGCCTGATCTCGGCTGAACACGCCCCGCAGCGGTGGTGCTGCGCTAGGAGCAGGGGGCTAACGAAGCACAGGTTGCAGCGCTCGCAGGGGAAGGTGCCGGCTGTGGGGTAGAGCGGAAGGGTTAAAGGCTCATGCGCAACGAACGACGGGAATAATGAAAAACGACTTTCGCGGTCGTTTTGGGGATGATCGAAAGAGTACTCACTTAGGGCCCGTTGGTCGAGCTGCGCGGGGTCCTCGTAGGCCTCGGGGTCGACGCCGAGGTCTTTCGCGTAGGAGTCCCCGTACCACACGAGCAGCTCCGTGTTCGCCGGGATGTCGTGCGTCGTCCGGTAGTACAGTTTGCCCTTGTACTGATACGGGAAGAGGTTCTGCTCCCCCGAGTGCCGCGCGCAGTTCACGAACCTCAACCAGTTGGAGGAGGTCACGTCCAGCGCGTCCACACAGTGGGTCGGCTTACCGGCGCGGTAAATCTAGAATGGAAAAGAACACTCGTCAAGGTCGATGCGGTCGTTACAAGGACATGCACCCCGCGAGATATAAGCCCGGATGTCATGAGCCCCGGCCCGTACGGGTTCGGGCCCATATCGGGTGCAATCGGGGCTCATGTCATCCGGGCTTAAATCTCGCGGGGCTCATGTCCTTGTAACCGATGCGGTTGACTACAGCTCACAAGCTCTCTCGGCAAGGCCCTCACCTCCCAGCCGTAGCCCGTCTCCTGGTCGGCCGGCACCGTGTCGCCCTCGTACGGCCCGAAGCGCACCCTCCTGGGTACGGCCTGTCGCGTCCAGACTCCCAGCCCCGCGCCGGGGATCTTGCTGACCAGCACGACGAGCTGGGGCGGCACCGTGAGCAGCGCACGGTCGGGGCGGCCGACGGCGACCTGAGGACATGAGAAGCGTAACCGTCGCGCACCCTCTCGGACTCCACTCCACCGCACACTCTGGTGATGACGCGCACATACCTCGGTGTCCGCGATCACCAGCAGGGGCCCGTGTTCCGGGCAATCTCCCGGCCAGTCCTTCTGGCAGTCATCACAGACTGAAACAACGGGGTGGGTAACACTTCAGTCTCGATACCTGCTCCGCGTCGGGCGAGGATTGATTGCAACGGCTGATATAATAACACTTTTACTCACAGATAACGTCGTCTTCGTCGTCCTGGAGGACGGGCTCGGTGGAGCGGGTGACGCCTGACTTGGGGTCGCGAGGTGCGGGAGGTGCTTCGGGTGCTGCTGTTGACGCGCTCGTTGCCTCGCGCTTATTCTTCCTTGTCGTCCTGGACGCGGAGGTGCTCCGGGTCCTGGTGCTAACGACCGGTACGGCGTTGTCCTTCCTGGACAGGGTGAGGGGAGAGCAGAGTTGTGATCCCTGGTTGGGACGAGTGCCGTGAGGTTAGGAGGTGGTGGTGGAAGTAAAATCACTTACTTGGGTTGTTGTTTTGACATCATGAAAGGCGATGGCTTTACGAACGAGAATAGTGAATTTGAATAGTCAATGAATGGGTCACTTTATAGCAATTAAGCTGACAGGTACCCAAATTCCAGGAACAATATTTGTTTATACCAAATTGGTTCCGGAACAAGGTTAGGCTGCTCCTCTTTCCCGCGAACGCTCTTTCGGACTGTCGTATTTCAGAATCAGACGACGAACACGTAACGCACGTAACGAAGGAAATATGTCTTCTCATTTTGAGTCATTGTCGATGGCGCGACAAAGCGTAAATGACAACACAGAAATTCAAAATGTATATAGCTTTTAACAACACAACGTCGAAGATGAGCCGAGCACCTTTGCCTTTGCCCCTTGAGGAGAAGAAAGGATGAAAAAGTTTGGCGGGGCTGGGGTTGCGGTTGCGCAGCGCACAGTCAAGTTGCACAACAAAACAACATAACCTGATACCATAGATAACAACTCAAGTTTATATCGTTTTGAGGCTGTTGTTGGATTGTGGATAAATTTCTGATTATCGCACAATAGTATTAGTTAGCTGCTCATTTGTCACTTCGAATAAAATGTTATTGTACGATGTGGCTTTCTGCTACTCCACGCCACTGTCTTTTTTTTCTTCTTACTGGTCAAGGAGGGGGCTGTCCAGAAACGGGGGG